CGGCGGCAGCGAGGGTACCCCCCCCGAGGGCGAAGGCGGAGCGGACGGACTTGGTTTTTTTGTCGACTAGTCGGTCTGTTTTGTAGGTGTTAGCAACTAGTTGGTAGAGAGGAGGGGGTTGAGAGAGAGAGAGAGAAACATACAAAAGTTCTGGTCGGGGCCTTGTGATGGTGTTTTTGATGTAGCAGCAGCAGCAGCAGCTTGAACCTCTGTCGCCAAGGAGCGGGAAAACATCTTTTGTTGTCTCGCCTGGCGGAGGAGGCTGGTCTTGAGACAGCTTAGAGGCCGTCTAGCCAGAGGGGTGACGTTCATCTTGGGTGAGTGTGGTGATATCCCGCGGGATCTCGGCGAGGGGGTTAGTTGACAACTCTACCAACCTTCACGGCTGGCTGTCTGGGGAAGAGACGTTCAAGATGGTTGAACCTGAGCCTGAATTGCGGGCTGTGATTGGTCAAAACTAGACTGCTGTGGTGGGGTGACAGGGGATTAGGTGCGGCTCCACAAAATTTTCTGACCCGCCAACCAGCAGGTGGGATTGGACGACGGTACCGGCTTTCGAGGTGTGGTGAGGAAGTTCAAGCTCTTGTGACGCTCATTTGATATACACCGCTTTGGAACCGAGGGGAGAAGCAGGCCCAAGTGCAAGTGCGCCATGTTCACGACATCGAGCGCCGGTGCCCTCAGGGCCGGAGCGAGGAGATTGGAGACGACGGTGTGTCACAATGCTAGCCTTCAGAGGAGGTTATTCTCAGTAACGTCGCAAAGAGGTACAGCACAGCACTTCTATATGATAGCTTCTTTTTGTAGAGGGGTTAAAACTGACTCTATCACCTTACTCTAGCCGGCGGCTTCATCGTCTTCAAAAAGGGCTCCAACCCCGAGCTCCAAGAGCGCCTCGACACCCTCTACAACAAGATCGTCCTCCCCTCCTACCTCAGCCAAGAGCAGCAGCGCAAGCTCACCAAGACCAAATATAAAGAACAGCTCCGAAACGACCCCATCACCATGGAAATCGACGGCGAAATCCACAAGTTCCGCTACGTAGATCCCACAAAGGACATTCCCAGCGCATCCAAACTAGTCAGACAGGCTGTCGAACACATGCAACACGAAGACTACCACAACCTCCACCTCGTCCTGAAAGGCTTCAAGCGCGCCAACAGAAAACTTCACGACGAGCTCGCCCTCCACATCATCAGGAAAGCCCACCAAGCCGACCGCCTCGACGCTGTCATCGACTGCGCCAAGCAGGTCGAGCTGACGGGCTTCAAGCTCGACTCACCCTTGAAGCTGTCTTCCCTCCTCGTAGGGGCGCAGACAAGGGCGATCGAGTCCGGCTTTAATCCTAAGCCAGCAAAGAAGGCGCTCAAGCAGACGGAGAAAGTGATTGACTTGCTGGAATTCGAAGGCAAGAGGCACCAGCCCAGCAACAGGTCCAAGACCCAAAGGCCCTTCTACCACGAGCCGATGTTCCTCGGTTTGAGACTAAACCTTGCCGCCACTCTTGCGGTAAAAGCCAGGGACGGCCAGGATGAGGACGGGAAGGTGACTCAGTACGCTGAGCAGATGGTTCACTTTTGGCCTGAAAACACTGGCATCCTCGACCTCCAGCCCGATGCTGCGTATGAGGACCCGCAAAACGTACAATATCTCCTCGACCGCAACGAGTTCCTTTACCATGTGTCGCCTGTGCTTCATGGCTTGCAGATGGCTGCCAAGGTGGTGGACCCGGGTCTTTCGATGAAGCTTCAGAACAGGGCGGATGCGCTGGAGGACGAGATTAGACAGGCGTATGAGTGGGACGAGCGGATGCCGGCGTCGGGAGAGGTCATGTATAACTGGTTGTTCAACACGGAGGAGATGCTGGGGCGTATCAAGGCGGAGAAGAAGAAGAAGGTGGAAGCGGAAGTGAACCCATGAGAGGCCCCTTTCAAAAAGAGAGGAGCAGTAAATATGATCACATATTTCCCAAACTATGTACCAGTACATATGTAAGAGTATTTACTTGTAACAATATTTCTTTTCTTTTTGGTATCGAGATGGTTGCTATGGGAGGACAATGTACTTCTTGAGATTCTCCGGGATCGCGCTCAGCAAGTTCTTGTTCTCAAGCCACTTCTTGGAGAACAACCTGTCGGCATATCTGTATGCGCCATCGCAGAGAACCGTGACTACGGTGTGCCCCTTGCCAAGCTTCTCCGCAACCTCCTTGGCTGCTACCACGTTCAACGCGGAGCTGGCACCGAGATACAAGCCCTCCTCATCCAAACACCTATACACCATCTCGATGGTCTTCTCATCACCGATGTGCAAACTGCCATCCAGCAACTCCACATCAGGAGCGAGATTGTCGGTTACTCTGCCCTGTCCAATACCCTCCGTGATGCTCGACCCAGACCTCTCAATCAGTTTTCCGCCCGACTGCAGGTAAGAGTGGAGGACACTCCCAGGGGGGTCGGCCAAAAAGCTCTTGACTTTCCCGTTGGACTTGTCTTTGAGATATCTCGTAATCCCCGCCAACGTCCCGCCGGTACCAGTCGCACAAGTAAACGCATCGACCTTGCCCCCAGTCTGATACCAAATTTCCGGTCCCGTCGTCTCGATATGCGCCCTCCTGTTGGCGGTGTTGTCGAACTGGTTTGTCCAAACGGCGTTGTCCAACCTCTCGGCATGCCTCTTTGCCTGGTGGTTGTAATTTTGTGGGTTCTCAAACGCGACCGCAGGCACGGGGTAGACCTCAGCTCCTAACAACCGCAACAAATCGATCTTGCCCTGGGACTGGGTGTCGGGCATGTAGATGACCAGCTTGTAACCTCTTGACCGACAGACGTGGGCGAGACCGATGCCGGTGTTGCCTGCGGTTCCTTCGACCACGGTGCCGCCGGGGCGGAGGAGACCCCTTTCTTCGGCGTCTTTGACCACGTAGAGGGCTGCGCGGTCTTTGATTGAGCCTCCCGGGTTCATGAACTCGGCTTTGCCGAGGATCTCGCAGCCGGTTTGGGAGGAGAGGTGGTTCAGGCGGATGAGGGGGGTATAGCCGATTGCGCCGGCGAGCCCTTGGGCGACGCCTTGGGATTTGGAGAGGTTGATTAGGTAGTCGGAGGGGGGTGCTGGGGGGAGGGGGGCGTTGGCGAGGCGGCGGGTGGTGGTCGCAAAGGTGCGGATGGTGGAGGGGCGTGGGCGGAACATCTTCTCGGTGGTTTGTGGTTGCCAATGAGGCAACTATACTGTGGGAGACTTGAAGGGAAGAAAACAATGAGAAACTGAAGCTCTACCCAAGTCAAAAGAAAATAAAAATCCGACCTCGCTCGCCTCGTTTCTTTCAATGACACCCCCCCCGAGAGCGCCGTTGCGGCTTGTAGACCGAGGTGGGGCAACAGTCAATGGCGCAATCAAGCGCTAAACCCGCCTGAAAGGTTAAGCTACGTAAGGGACCTCCCGCCATTGCCGGCCGGCAATTTTTGGCCAGTGTCAAATCCTTGCCACATCTTCCAAGTCGCGGTTCCACTGTATTTTGTTCGCGGTGCACAGTGACGAACGAAGCCTTTCAAGTTCAACGTAAATGCCATCAACCTAGTTCCTCACACCACTACCTCTTGTCGGATATACCACAAATCTGATATCATTCTTCATGGCTCGAATTGCTCCAAATCATCATTATTATTAAAAACCCAGCCGCTTGAAGGCTTCATCGCCCAAAAATGACCCCCCCAACCCCCCTCCCCGACGAGACTACCTCCACCAAACCCTCCACCCCAGTCCTCGATTCTTTATCCTCATCAGACTCCGACTCCGACTCCGACATCGACGCCACCTCCGTCAAGAAACCATCCCCCCAACAACAACAAACAGAATGGCTCGCCACCTCCCGCACCAAGCGCTCCACAGCCGGCAACCGCATGAAAGCCCTCCTCGCAAACGAAGCCCCCCTCCTCACCACAACCACAACCTCGACCGACGCCGACGCCGACGACCTCGAACTCTTGTTCGCCGAAGATGAAGACGACGCCGGCTTCACCCCCGAAGCCAAAGACGACGCGTCCGATGTCCAAATGGATAGCTCCTCGGACGAAGAAGACAACGATGCCGCCAACGCCGACGAGGACGAAGGTGAGAAAGAGCTGGAGAGACAAGCCAGAGAAAAGAGAGCGGCTCAGCGGAAGAGGAAAACTCAAGAGGCTATCCCGGCCAAGTTCCGCAAAAAGGTTAGGATAGAGCCGCCGGGGAGCTCAAACGCGGGGAGCACGGTTGCCAGCCCGGCGCCGAAGCCGCCGAGGCCGAAGAAGAAGAGTGAGAGGGCTAGTTGGTTGCCTACGCTGGCGGATATGCCTACCAGAGCGTCGGAGCGGTCGACGACGAGGATGAGCAAGCAGCAGCTGCATGAGAAGATGGTGACGGATGAGATTAGGAGGAGGAAGCAGATTGAGAGGATGGAGAAGAAGGCCAAGTTGCTGGAGGCGATGAAGAAGCCGCCTATGACGCAGGCGGAGAGGTTGGCTGAGGCGGCCAAGGTGGAGAAGAGGAATGCGAGGAGTTTGAATCGGTGGGAGGAGGCGGAGAAGCAGAGGGAGGAGGAGAGGCTGAAGAAGATTGCGGCGTTGAATAGTCGGAAGCTGGATGGGCCGGTGGTGACTTTTTGGAGTGGGATTCAGGAGTTGAGTGAGGGGCAGGGGAAGCATGTGGGGAACTTGGTGTCGATGGAGGAGAGGGCGCCGAGGAAGAAGAGGCAGAGTGCGGCGGCGGTGTTGGCTGCGAAGGAGATGGGGGTTGGTGAGGAGCCGGGGACGCCGACGACGACGCCGGTGGAGGGGGAGAAGATGAAGGTGGGTGGGAAGGAGGGGGAGGTCAAGGCTGAAAAGGTTGATGCGAAGATGTTGGCTGGCACTGTTCCAACAGAGACGCCAAACGCTGGGACGACAGCTGCTCCGGTGAATTCGCCTGCTGTGCCGGTAGCGACATCAACATCGGCAACACAGGGGCCAGTCTTCGCTCCAACCACGGAACCACCAGTGTCTGTTCCAGCAACGCAACCACCATCTACTGCCCCAGTTTCGGCACCAGCAACACCTCTCCCAACCCCACTGGCAAGCCCAGCACCGGCTGTCTCTGCTCCAGCTTCAACGCCCACACCTCCAGCAGTAGCAATGCCCGCACCACCGCCACCCGTCGCAGCACCAGCGCCGGTTCCTGCTTTGGGGACATTCCAACCGCCAGTTCCTTCACCACCACCACCACCACCACCACCCGCTCAAATACCTACGGCTGCCTCAGCACCACCGTCAGGTCCAGTCTTTGCGCCTCCACTTCCACCAACAACCTCAGTATCACCACCCAAGGGGCCGGCAGCACCAGTACTATCAATGACACCTCCAACAGCCCCCTCAATGGCACCACCGCCGATACCACCACCACCAGAGGCGAGACCGCCCACATCAGGGGTTCTTGCTGCCCCTATTCTCGCACCACCACCTGGCCCAATGCTTGGAGCCCAGATGCCAATGTTGGGGTTTCCTCCGTCAGGCGGGAAATCCAATGTCCTCGCTCTGCCCAATACATCACATACCCCATCACCACTCTCCATGCCGCTTTCTGCTCCGGCTGTTCCCGCACCAGCGCTGCCCATATTATCTACCCCAACTATGTCCGCCCCTGTACCACCAACTGTACCAAAACTGAACATTCCCGCTCCTCCTATTCCGTCAACTCCTGCTCAGCAGAAGTCGGCGCCAGCTCAGACGCCGGTATCAGCAACACCTGTCTCGGCGACACCAATATCAGCAGCCCCAGTCTCGGCAACCCCAACAACAGCCAAACAGCCCGACACACCCCAATCAGCTCTCCCCCAGTCCACCGCCACCAACCCAGAACCACCAGCTCAAGACCAGCAACCACAGGGCAAAGTCACCAGAAGCTGCATCATCCTCCAAAACTTTGACGACGCCGCCATCAAGGACAAGCAGATCCAGAACCAGATCTTGTTTGGTCGGAAGATGAACCGGCTGGCCAAGCCGGCGCACCCGCCGCTGTGTGTCATTACCAACCATCCTGCCCGATACCGAGACCCAAAGACGGGGTTGCATTACTATAATAGTTATGCGTACAAGGAGATTCAGAGGGTGAGCAGGGGGGATTACAAGTGGAGCTCGCTGCTGGGGAGTTATGTGGGGAGGGGATGGGGAGAGTTTGCGGCGAAGGGGGTGCCGGAGAGGTTTACGGATCCGAGCAGGCCGAGCGGGATTGTTGCTGGGGGGGAGAAGCCGGAGGAGGTGGGGGTGGTGCAGGCGAGGTTGGTGCCTATTGAGGGGGCGGAGCCGGTGGTGAAGATGGAGGGAGGGGGGGGGCAGCAGGGTGTTGTTGTGCCTGCTGCTGCTCCGGTTGTGATGCCTTCTTCTCCTGGGCCGGTTGTAACGCCTGCAGGTGGTGGTTCTGCGCCCGCTGCTCCAGCTGGAGTGGTGATGAACCCTCCTCCTTGTCCTCGTCCTCCAATTGTGTCACCAGTAGTATTTGATGCCCCTCCTGCTGTCCCGGAGGTGGGTATGGCTGCTGACCAGAATAACCACCACCAGCCTGTGCGAACGCAGTAGGATGTGGTTTTTGTGCAGGCTAGGTTTGTGGTGGGGTATCTGGAGAGGCAGGAAGAGGAGACAGGTATATCAACAAGGAGGAGGGTAGAAAGAGGGAGGGATATATGTTAGGAGGGTGAGGAAAAAGTTGCTTTGATGAGAGAAGAAAAAGAATAATGGGTGGTTGGTTGGTTGGTTGGTTGGTTGGTTGTATACCTAACCATGGATGTTGGAAGAGTATTTGAACAGCATTGTTTATGGGCTTTTTCGGCTGCGTTAGTTAGTCAAAGTTGGGACAGTTTAGATATGTTATTTAGGTAGGTGGGTATGTATATTATATAGCTCGAGGCAGAAGCAAGGAGGTTTTCAGAAACGGGTGTCTTCTGATGCTGACGAGAACGGGTTATAATGGATAGATACCGAGTCAAGAACAATCTGATACAACGTTTGAAAAGAGTTAGTTGTTTATTTGTTGATTAGTTTTGATTTTGCGGGGCTGGGATGGTTGGTTAAAGAGACTATGTGTCGTTGCACTTGGGTTTGAACAGCGAGTTTGATAAATGTTGGGCAGGTATGTGACGTTGTAGGAAGGATATTGGTATTATGATGATGATGATGATGATGATGATGATGATGATGATGATGATGATGATGATGATGATGACAAGGAAAAGAAAACATAATAAACCAGCAGTGATGTTGGCATAACAGCGGAAGCAAACTGTTCAATTACGTAGTTTGAATCTATTATCTTTTAGACCAGCTCAAGATTGCCCGCCGTTTTACTCGTCAAGTTTTTATTTTAATCTGTTTACTTTACACGTTTAAGTTGATAGTTGCTTATACCTCCACAGCGGCCTCTGTTTTGATCTTTTTGTTGTTTGGACTCTTCCTTCTCGGCCTTGGCCCTCTTCTTTCTCTCACGTCTGACTTCAACTTCGAGGGCTTTCATCTGCTCGCTGAGGGTTGCTAGTTTGGGGATGATATCCTCGACGGCGGTTTTGGCGTCTGCTTGGGCGAGGCGGAGGGGGAGGGGGGTTAGGATGCCAAACCAGTGGAGAGGGTTGGTGGAGTTCTTGTGTTTTGATGTTGGGGTTGGTTGCGAATCATCCCTTTTTGACTCTGCTTCGTCTCTGGCCTTGCCATCACCAGGTTCATCTTTGGGCGGTGGATGTGATGACGATGGGTTGCTGTTGTTGGCATGCTGTGTTGATCCTGGCCCGTCCTGAGTTTGGGGTTGCTCTTTGGTGTTGTCGTTGGGTTTTGGCTTCTCTGATGGTTTATCATTTGTGACTGGTGGTCTTACAAGGCTGAACTCGGGTGTGTTGGTTTCGGAAGAGATGGTGATGTCGAGATGGGAGGTGGATTGCATTCGCTCATCGTAGTAGTCTTGGCCGTAGTGTCTCACGCCGGGTTGTGCGGAAAAGTTCGCGCGGGCGAGGTGCTGGTAGAGGGATGACTGGAGGTTGTTGAGGGTGGTGCGGAGGGTGGTGTATTCGTTGAGGAGGAGGAGGTATTGTTGGAGGAGGGAGTCGATTTTGTCGGTAGACATCTCGGTTAAAGTTGGAGATGTGTGGTGTTGGCGAGTGAGTAAGTGAGCTTGAAGTGAGCTGATGCGTTGTGAGATGTTGGAAAGACCAAACGCCCCACTTTCCACCATTTAGTCGTTTATTCCGCGATAAGCACGGCTTCGTCTCAGCTTCATCAACTTGGATAGTGCTTCCGAGGCAGCTGATGGCTGTTTGCTGTCTCATGTATAACAAGTAATTACACGCAGGACCTACTCCAACTGCAGGACCCTTGCCAAGGTGGACTGTGAATGCCTCTACTGCAGACCTTTTATGCAATGGAAGCAGTTGTACCACTGAAGACATGCATTCTTCAAGCTACGGAGGCCATAACCCTGGTGCCGCGGCCAGGCGTCCGCCGTGCAACTGGTCCCCCCCTTCTTGGGTGAGCTGGCATCTGATGAGACTGCTGCCTCTCTGATAGGACAGGACTGCACAAACACGCCTGTTCATAAAATGATGTGCTTTTTCTCTCCCACTTCTTCCACTTTCCCACTTCTCCCACTTCTCCCACTCTTGTGCTCCCAGTCCTATCTCCTCTCTTGCCATGAAAGAGGCAAGTGGATGCGAAGAGCTATCGCTGCCCTGGCTCTCAAGAGGCGTATCGAATTACAGCGAGGCGTAACTGTGCTAAGTTCTGATAGTAGGACTTTAGCGCGGGTGATAGTACTGCGCTAGTAATAATACGGTGTTCGGTTACCACTCCCCCACAGGCAGCGGACGACCTAAACAAGGAACTCGCCCACTGATCACTCCTATGCTCGTGCTTCCCTCACGGCCTGTAATCTTACGAGGTTGCTGGCCTGGCTGCATAACAAAACCACCATCCCCCCCTTCGGTATCCGTAAATTCAATTGTCATCTCTTTCCCCCCCCCCCAAGAAACCCAATTGCCCATCTTGCTCCACGCTGTGTCCCGCCTTCGTTCAGTCCAAGTCGTCGTCTTTCTTTGTCCGTGCAGGAGTCAGTCACCCGTCGACAGCCGCATACCACACACCGACGAATTACTTTCAGACCTCACACACCTCGTCATCGCCCGCTGCTGCCCGCTGCCCACTGCCACCACCACACCCCATTTTACCTTCCCGCTTTTCCCCCCCATCGCATCCCTTACCGACTCCACATCGGTCCCCTTCGCACCCTCGAATTGCATTTGCCGGGTCCATTCCCTTTGAGCTGTTCAGTCGCGCGATAAGGGGAGAGCTGCTGTTGGACGCAAGGCTTCTGAACGAGAGGCGGTCGACGATAGAGCCCTGTGATCAAACAGCCCGGCAAGACAAACCGAGAGCCCTGTGCCATCCGTCAAAATGGTTTTAGGAACCATCAAGTGTGTGAGCCCTTTTATTTACTCTCCCTCCCAGCCTGACGCAAGCTGCGCTCTATAAGTCGCTGCCAGCACAAACCGACTGCTTCCCCACGCGATGCGGCCGAGTCCGATCAAGTCCACACCGCTCGACTCGACTCGACTCGACCATCATGGCTCGGAACAGCGACATTTCCATCCTGGACGCGTCTGCCGACAGCGATTTTGTAGCCGGCGCATCCGTTTGCAAATCTATAGTTTCAAGAGCCTGTTGCTAATCATGTACTGCGATAACCTAGGTGCGTGGTCGTCGGTGACGGTGCTGTCGGAAAGACTTGTCTTCTGATCAGCTATACAACAAACAAGTTCCCCTCGGAATATGTCCCGACCGTCTTCGACAACTATGCCGTCACAGTCATGTAGGTTGAAACCCTCATCCCGCTGGCGACATGGTCACGACGAGTTGCCATGGCGCCCTACCCGAGACACGCTTGTGCTTCCACATGCAAACCCGCTGCTTGTCGCCCTTTGTTCTGACGAGAACTATGTAGGATCGGAGATGAGCCGTACACATTGGGCCTGTTTGATACTGCCGGGCAAGAAGATTACGACCGCCTGCGTCCTCTCTCATATCCACAGACCGACGTCTTCTTGGTCTGCTTCAGCGTCACATCTCCGGCCTCGTTCGAAAACGTCCGCGAGAAGTGGTTCCCCGAAGTGCACCACCACTGCCCTGGCGTTCCCTGCCTGATCGTCGGCACTCAGGTGGATTTGCGTGACGATCCTTCGGTCCAGCAGAAGCTGGCCAAGCAAAAGATGTCGCCCGTGTCAAAAGCCGACGGTGAGAGGATGGCGAAGGATCTCGGTGCTGTCAAATATGTCGAGTGCAGTGCCCTCACGCAGTACAAGTTGAAGGATGTCTTCGATGAGGTAGGTGATGGCAGAGTTCTTGCCTCGGAAAAGAAAAAAGGAAAAAAAAAACTGACAATTATTGCTCTAGGCTATTGTTGCTGCCTTAGAACCACCCACACCCAAGAAGAGCCGCCACAAGTGCCAGATTCTTTGAGTCACGAGTTTGGATATATCTTGTTGTCTAGTCAAAATACCACCCAGGGTGGAAAGCAGCGTCAAAGTTGGAAGAGCGAATCTGGACATTGATTTAACCCAGCCCTGTCTTCAGCAAACCAAATAGACCTCTGGCAGGTTGGGGGATTTCTAGAGATCAATGCACCATAAAGCGGCAACGCTACAGGCCTGGGATTTAGCATCATCATTATCGTCATCACACACACACACACCCCGATACCTACGCACCACTATTCTCATCCCCCTCCCTACCTTGAACGGCAGCCTCGATCTTCAACGACGAACTATGCGCCAACCGCCGTCCTTAGCTGCTTGGGTCCGGGACAGGCACGGGTAATTTCTGGTATGGGAGATGCCCTTTCCGAAGCTGGGAACGAAGTGGTCAGGCTGGAACAGAGTTTCATTTTCTTCTACGGAATTTCCTCCCCCTCTTCCAAACCCAGTCGAACAACTTCTTGGTATCTCTTCCACGGCCTGTTTAGCACATTTCTTCCTTCTTGATTCTATCCCCCTTCCCCTCCCCTTGTTGCTGCGCGGGTGGGCCACCGTGTAAGGTACCTGCTCCGAGAATACAGGAAGCTTTCGATAGGACAGTTTGGCGATTGGAGTGCAATTGAATCAAAGTTTACCATCTTTTTTTTTTTCTGTTTTGTTTGCTTGTGCTGATTTTTTGATAACTCGGGGTATTGGAGAGCTACACTTGATTCTGACTGATTGATATCCGGGTCATGTATGTGTAACAGGTCTGAGCAAAAGTCTCCGCTGGTTTGTCTGCAAATCGGACGAGGGGTCTGATCGAGTTCTGAGATGAACACGGGGAGAGAATCACCCGAACTCGACAGCCCAGGGAGAAATATCCTTTGAGTGCAGCTGCCAAAGAGTCGTAGTGTAAGACCGAGGTTGGTCTTATCTACAAAGAGGGCTTGGTATTTACTTCAAGGTTCACCGCCCTGACTCAATCCAGGAGGTGTCCTGTCTGTTTCTCACCCCTGGGGGCGAAGTTGATAAGGAAACGTGTTACAGGTGAATCATGTGAAACTTGATCTTATCTTTTACAGGTTGTGGCTTTTGAGGGTTGCTTTGATAACAGATAGCTCTACCGACCACGGAAGGTGCGCGCCGTTGAGTCATTGGGTTTTTTTTCCCCCTTGTGTGAGGGGTCTGGTCCCCTTCAATCGACAAGTGGTGCCCCGCCATACACTTTTCTTCACCCCCACCATCTCTCTTTCTCCCTCTTCTTTTCTTTCCCCCAACCACAAAAAGACACACACAGACATTACATACCTATCGCGACCAGCAGCAGCCGCAATCATGGCCGCGACCCAAGATCTCGCCGACCGCACCGCTGCCCAAAAGGTGTACATCGACCCCGCCTCGGGCAAAGACGACGCCTCGGCCGACGGCACCGAGGCCAAGCCCTTCCAGTCGCTGTATCATGCCCTCATCACCCACCTCGAGACCACCCCCGCGCCCACGTACCTGACGCTCGTCAAGAAGGAGGACGCTGCCACCTCGTGGGAGGAACCCGCCAAGTCTGCGCTCAAAAAGGCCGTCGGCCGCGTGGACGCGTACAAGAAGAAGCTGGCCAAGGAGAAGGACGCCGCGAGGAAGGAGGAGGAGGAGCGGCTGCAGAGGTTGAAGAACCTGGAGGACAGCAAGAAGATCGTCCTCAAGCAGGACGAGTCGCTCCCCAAGGCGGAGAGGATCAAGCTGAGCCAGAAGGACGAGGGGCTGATTGGGAAGAGGGTCAAGGTGTTTGGGCGGATTCACAGGATTAGGGTGCAGAAGGCGGCGACGTTTCTGGAGATCAAGGACGGGTATGGGAAGCTGCAGTGTATCCTTCCTGCTGGGGATCTGACCAGGAACCATGATGCGCTGTTGTTTGCGCAGGAGACTGCGCTGGCGGTGTATGGGCTGTTGAAGAGGGTTCCCGAGGGGGCTGAGGCGCCGGATGGGAGGGAGCTGCACGTGGATTATTTTGAGGTGGTGGGTGGTGCGCCGAGTGATTTGGAGGCGTTTAGCAACAAGGTTAGCAAGGATCAGGACCCGTGGGAGGCGAGCATGTTGGACAACAGGCATTTGGTGCTGAGGGGGGACAATGCGAGCGCGGTGATGAAGTTGAGGGAGGCGATTGAGCTGGCGTTTGTGGATAGTTATAGGGAGATGGAGTTCACCAAGGTGTCGCCTCCTGCCATGGTCCAGACTCAGGTTGAGGGTGGTTCTACTCTTTTCGGGTTTCCCTACTATGGCGAGGAGGCTTACCTTACCCAGTCTTCTCAGCTGTACCTCGAGACTGTGATCCAGTCGCTCGGCAACGTCTACTGTATCGAGAAGTCTTTCAGAGCCGAGAAGTCGCTCACCCGCCGCCATCTGTCCGAGTACACGCACGTCGAGGCCGAGATGGACTTTATCGAATTTGACGACCTGCTCGAGCACATTGAGGAGCTGATTTGCCGCGTCGTCGACAAGGTGCTTGCCAACCCCACCTCTGCGGCCTACCTCAAGCTTCTCAACCCCGGCTTCCAGAAGCCGAGCAGGCCGTTTATGCGGATGAGGTACGCCGACGCGATCGACTGGCTCAACGCGCAGGAGGAGCCGATTCTCAACGAGGAGGGCAAGCCCCACGTGTTTGGTGACGACATTGCCGAGGCTGCGGAGAGAAAGATGACGGACATTATCAACCGGCCCATCTTCTTGACGCATTTCCCTGTCGAGATCAAGGCGTTTTACATGCAGAAGGACCCCAAGGACTTGAGGGTGACGGAGTCGGTGGATGTGCTGATGCCGGGGGTGGGTGAGATTGTGGGCGGGTCGATGAGGATGTTTGATTATGAGGAGTTGATTGAGGCGTATAAGAAGAATGATATTGGGCATGAGCCTTACTACTGGTATGTATTCTTAGGCCGGGGGGTGGGGGAGGGTTAGAGGATGATGATGATGCTAATATGATGATGGTTATTATAGGTACACGGAGCAGAGAAAGTACGGCACCAGCCCGCACGGTGGGTATGGGTTGGGGTTGGAGCGGTTCATTGCTTGGATTGCGAACCAGCATACTGTGAGGACGTGCAGTTTGTATCCTAGATTTATGGGGCGTGCGAAGCCTTAAAAAAAGGGTGAACTGGGATGGGGTTCTTTTAGAGAGGAGGGGGGAAAAGAAGGCTTGGAGTTTGGGGGATGAGGTTAGGCTTTAGGTTTACATTTTAGTCTTTCTGTCATAGATGAAAAGATGGATTTAGATGTTATGGGTTTGAGTGGTGATGTGTGTGTCATGCTGTTTGGATTCCATCCGGCGGCGAGGGAGCTATCAACGCCAAGATGCAAGAGAACTCGGACTATGTGAAGTTGAAGGATATGAATAGCGTTGTTGTTTGTTTTATGCCATGAGTGTGGCTGCGGTGCAGTCGGGGGTTGGATGATGAGGTCGGAGTCGTGGTTGTTGAAGATTATCTCAACCCTAACCCTGATTTTGAAGTTGTGCAAAATGGATGATGAGATGCCTTTTATTTTATAATTTTTCTTATATTTTTATAAAAAAAAATTTATAATTTTAATTTTTTTAAAAAAACTCTCATTTGTTGGATTCGTATTTGTTTTGTTTCGAGCCCAATGGATTACATATATAGAGGCATGTTGCCTACGTTGAAGGAATCAGGCGAAGGTACTCGGCCGAGTTAAATTGGCCACAGTTGGGAAGAACCACATCTTCGGGTTTTGGGGGCAAATCCTTTGGGGGAAAGACGGCGCAGTTCTTTTGTTCCTTTTCCAGGTTCTCGGTTTGACTCTGTATGATACAGATGTGAGGATTTGTTTGGGTTAACTGATCAACAACAGGCAGGCAGGCAGGCAGGTAGGTAAGCGGGCGGGCGGGTAGATCTGGACTGGACCCTTGAATATCCGTCTTTCCAGGATGGACGGGGAGAATATCTGAAACGGGTGGTTTCGGGGGAGAGGACCCTGGGGGCTTGTGGGTTATGATTCTAGAAAGGGTGGGATATCATGCGAATATCCATGCATACGGGACAGAGTGAAAGAGTGTTTCCTTCAGACTTGAGTCTTGGGTAAATACGGAATGCGTAGCCGTTGATAAGCCTTGTTGGGGGCCAATGTGCGTGTGGTCAAGTGATTCGGGCGTCCATCCATCCATCCATCCATCCATCCATCTATTCAGGGGTAGTATCAAATTCGGCGGTCTGGATAAGGCGGCCACCACCGCGGTACCTGCATCAGCCATTGGCGATTCCTGACCATCCAAATGCGAGCATTATTTTTCTCGACTTTTAACAGAATTTCTATGTCGGGTGTGTATGTACTGACCTGTGCAACCTGCAGGCGCCTACATACCTAGTGAAGCAAAATGTTGAATGGTGCCACGAAGACATTTTGGTCTTTTTTTTTCTTTTTTTTCTTCTTCCCACCGAAGCTTTCTTTCAACGGTGGGTGGTTTGGTTTTGGTTGAGGTTGCATAACACACACAGTGTGGAGAGAGAGAGGTGAGAATGCTTGGGGCGTTATTTCCCCTGGTTTCACCACACCACTACCTTACCCCAGGTAACAGTCTTGTTCTCTTGGTGCTATGGAGAACTATTTTGGGGTGTGTGGTTGGGGAAAGTTAAAAGTTTCGATTCATTGAAGTGTGGGATCGAAACTCAATTGCAAAAAGATGCTAATTCGTGGCAGGGCGACGTAATTCATGGGGGAACGGGAAAAAAACGGTGCCCGGACTCCCGGAAATTGATATTGGGAAGGATTTCAATAGGGTAAGGTGAGTAAAAAAGAACAGAACAATTGCTGAGATGTGAGAGAGAGACAATGTCAGCAAAGCCAAAATAATGGCTGGGCCCAATCGGGAGAATTGAATGGTAAAATGTGACAATGATTGGGATGGCTTGGTTCGGAGGCAATGATGATGAGGCGGGTGGTGGTGGTGGGACGGGTGGGACGGGCGGTCGGGAGGTCGGGAGAGAGCGCGGAACGGGCAGACTGTGGCCACGGACACTGCTTGCGTTGCTTGCTGATGATTTCTTTCTTGTTGTTCAGACATTGTCCGTGAAGAGAGGATTGTGATTGTCTGTCTGTCTCGTGAGGTCTGAACTCTGAAGCGAAAGCCTCGTGCCGCCAAGTCTCGGATTATGGTACCTGGACACGGTGAGAGCAAGAGACAAGAGACAAGACAAAAGAGAGGGGCAATCGATGTCGTCTTGGTCGTCGTCTTCAGATGGACTCGACGGGAAGAGGCATGATGACATGTCCTTCAACGGTAGGGACAATGCAGAAGAAATGCGTGGTCTTGTGCTGGGCCGACCCCATTCCCCTACCTTAAGGCGACGCTGGTTGCAATGCTGAGCGGCAGGGGGGGACTCCTGAGGGTACTTTTAGGCCAAGTATCTCATGCATACTAGTGACTAGCCACAGTGACTTTGGTCAAAGGTACGACGCTAAGTGGCCAGGCAATTAAAGCTCCATCCACTTCACCTTCTTGTCCTTGCCAATCTTTCACCTCTCCCCTTTTTTTCGCTCCGTCCTGAGCGTCCTCTCTCTTTTATTGTCGCTGGCACCTCTCGCTTCTTCATTTTTGTTGCCGCCTTTCCTCCGCCTTCTAACCTACCCAACCTGCCTTTTCTTTCCCTTCGGCATCATTCTTTTTACTATATCCTAGGTAATAATTCTTTTGGAGCCGCCCACGCAACCCCTTGACTTGACCCCTAGTCGACGACCATCTCAACCCACCCTTCGTCGACACCCGTCTTCAGAGAACTCTCTCGCTCTCTCGGACTGGACCTAAAGCCCTCGCTCGTCGAATCAATTATACGATAACAACTTTAATACGAAGCATCCTTCTTTGTTCGAAATCGCCAACAGCCCGCACGAAAACGTTCCTGAGTCCTTTTGGTCGGCCAGCCACACGTCGGACCCCTCGGTCAATTGGGTCGTCGTCTTTCATTGATAGCCAGCATTTTCTTTCACACGAATCTGCCGCGCTTCTCCCGCTTTTTTAGCCCGTCTTTGCTGTCTGAAAAAGACAAAACACACTTGGTGAACAGGGGGGGGATTCGCTTCACCGCATCTTCCGGGGGCCATACATTCCAGCACGCGTCTGATTCTTCCCGTGCCTCTCACCAGGCACGTCTAATCCTTCAAAACGGCGGTTCTATCTCACGTCACCAGGGACAGTCTTGTCCCCCCGCATCTTCTCGGGATGCAGGATATCTCTGCCCCCCAGACGGGGTCTAGCAGCCACCGTTTCGGCCACGCCTCCAAGCCCTCCAACAGCGATACCGGCTTTTCCCACGGTGCCTTTGCCTCCAACATCTCTGGCTTTTCTGACAGGCATCCGAGACGCGGAAACATTCCGACCATCAACACCCAGCCTGTCTCTCACCAGCAGCAGCAGCAGCAACAACAACACCAGCAGCAGCAGTATAACCAACAGCAGCAGCAGCAACAGCAGCAGAACCATCACAATGGCGAGCTGACTTCTCCTGGCACTGGTTTCGAGTTTGCCTCGCTGCTGCCGTCCCAGCTTCTCCTCAGCCCCTTCCAGCCCGGCACCCCTGCCGCATTTGCGAGCCCTCATTTCCAGAATGTGAGCAGCTTCCAGCAGCTTCAGCAGCAAAACCTTCAGCAGCAGAATGGCGCGTCGAGCCCGATCCAGCAGAGCATTTCTTCCCAGATGTACGGCGGAATCGTCTCTCCTTCGGCTTATGGCGCCCCCCAGTTCTATTCGCCCCAGTCGCCCACGGCGTCTTTCAACAATATGGCTGGCCTGCAGATGCCCGTTCAGCCTGCTTCTCCCATGCCGATGACACCGGGTCTTGTGACTGGTACCAGTAGAACTGTGTACCTGGGCAACATTCCCCCTGACACTTCGGCCGAGGAAATTTTGGGCCACGTTCGCAGCGGTCAGATCGAGTCGGTCCGTCTTCTTCCCGATAAGAACTGCGCCTTCATCTCGTTCCTGGACCCCGCCTCGGCCACTCACTTCCACTCTGATGCCATCTTGAAAAAGCTCTGCATCAAGGGACAGGATATCAAGATTGGCTGGGGCAAGCCCTCGCAGGTGCCCACCTCGGTTCACCTGGCTGTTCAGCAGTCTGGTGCTTCCAGAAATGTGTACCTCGGCAACCTGCCCGAGGACATTTCCGAGGAGGAACTTCGCGAGGATCTCGGCAAGTTTGGTGCCATTGATACCATCAAGATTGTGCGCGAGAAGAACATTGCCTTTGTGCACTTCTTGTCCATTGCCAATGCCATCAAGGCCGTCTCTCAGCTTCCCCAGGAGGCCAAGTGGCAGGCGCCCCGCAGGGTGTACTATGGCAAGGACCGGTGCGCCTATGTGTCCAAGACTCAGCAGCAGAATGCCGCCCAGTACCTTGGAATCGCCCCTGGCTATGCCCACATGTTGACGGGTGCCGACCGTGACTTGATTTCCAGCGCCCTGGCTCAGCAGTCGGTCGCTGCCGCTGCCGTAGCCACGACGGCCGGTGGCATCACCAACCTGGGCAACCGGACCATTTACCTCGGCAACATTCATCCCGAGACCACCATCGAGGAGATTTGCAATGTTGTTCGCGGCGGTCTTTTGCACCACATCCGGTACATTCCCGACAAGCACATCTGCTTTGTGACCTTTATTGATCCCACAGCTGCTGCGTCTTTCTATGCCCTCAGCAACCTGCAGGGTCTGATGATTCACAACCGCAGACTCAAGATTGGCTGGGGCAAGCACTCTGGTGCTCTCCCTCCCGCCATTGCCCTGGCTGTCAGCGGTGGTGCTTCGCGCAACGTGTACGTTGGTAACCTCGACGAGACCTGGACCGAAGACAGACTGAGACAGGATTTCTCCGAGTACGGTGAGATTGAGCTGGTCAACACGCTGCGTGAGAAGAGCTGCGCGTTTGTCAACTTCACCAACATTGCCAACGCCATCAAGGCTATCGAAGCTGTCCGTGGAAAGGAGGAGTACAGGAAGTTCAAGGTCAACTTTGGCAAGGATCGTTGCGGCAACCCGCCCCGCCAACTCCAGCAGCAGGCTCAGCAGTCCCCTCGTGGCGAGCAGGTGCCTTCCCCTTCGGCCAACGGGTCTAGCCAGAGCGGCCACTCGCCCACCGGCAACGGTCACAACCAGCAGAACGGCCAGGCTGCTGCCGCCTTGTTCAACCAGAACAGCAACCCCTTGACCATGTATCTCACTCATGTGTCTCACCAGGCCCAGCAGCAACAACAGCACCAGCATCACCAGCTGGCCGCTCAACAGGCTGCTCTGTTCGGCACTGCTCAGTCTTCGCCCAACGAGCCCGGCATCTCCCTCGAGGTTCCCCAGGGTCATGGAGGCATGGGCCACCAGCAGTCGGCCAGCATTTCCAACGGCTACGCCACCAGCTCTGGCGCGACCACCATCGGCGGTCTTCTCGCTCCCGTCAACACCAGGGGCTCTCACAACCGGGCCGTCAGCTTG